AAATTGAGAGGGAGGGAGAATGGAGGAGGAGAGCAGAGGTCGAGTCGAGGCAAGGACGGCGTCGAGAAACGCCATCTCGGCGTCGTTGATTATCTCGATTTCGATCGGGATGCTGCAGGATTTGGCGGGGGGAGACGATGAAGGAGAGAGCAAGGACTTGAGTTCCATTCATTAGCGATGGGTTCGGATCTGAGGCTAAGCGCGAGGATATGAGGCTGAGCACGGAGGCACGTGCATCCCTAGTTTACCCATCTAATAAACTAGTGTGCAGCCCGTGCTGCGGTGTTTTTTTTGCTACAGTGTTCCCGCCGTTTTTAAACTCTCCCGGTTTGAATTTTCTGGGGTGCTACAGTAACTCGCCTGCTACAGTGCAACTCCCGAGCTGCTACAGTAACCGATCTGCTACAGTGCCTTTTAAATTTCTCAGATGCTACAGGAATACTGCTACAGTAAATCTGCTGTAGCATTTACTGTAGCATGAACAGTGACTCTTTGTTTCTCCCATTTGTATAAAAGAATAGATGAGTAAGTTTGGGTTGACTTGTTTATGACCCGACCCATATAATTCGACCCATAACCATTATAAACGGATCGGATCGGGTCGGGTTGATGGGTCGGGTCATAATTTGTCACCCCTAATCTCATTCCTACGTTTGGCTTTCAGAAATACGAGACAGTAAACATCTTTTTTGGTTGTTGGCTTTTAATTTTCTTTGCCGGTTGATAAGAGAGAGAGAGAGTGTGTGTGTGTATCTTGGGTTAAATTTTCCTAAGTTAAAATATTAAATGTGTACACCTATATATATACAAGTAGAGGATGGTGGGGTGTCATCTCATAACCAATGTGGAACTAAACCTAATATCAACAACCCCCCTCAAACTCATGTTGGATCAAACAAAGTGAGTTTGCGTATAAGAAACTGAAATCGATGAATAGGTATAAGGCCTTCGTGAAGAAATTTGCAAGCTCATTAGCGGATGAGACATGAGGAAGTTGAATTGTCTTGTCCTTGATAACTTGTTGATAAAAAAATAAGCATCGATCTCAATGTGTTTGGTCCTCTCATGAAATACTATATTATTAGCAATCTGGATGACACTTTATCGCAATAGAGGGAAGTAGGAGTCGGAACAGGAATACCAAAATCACTGAGAAGACGACGAAGATAAATAATCTCTTAGTCATTATGGACATTGCACGATACTCTGCCTCAATGGTGGAAAGGACAACAACATTTTGTTTCTTACTCCGCCAGGAAATAAGGGAATCATCAAGAAATATACAATAACCCATGGTGGACTTCCTGGTAGTTGGATCACCGGCCCAATCAGCATCAGAATATGCACGAAGGTCTAAATCGGATGTAGCATAATAAAGCGAGTGCTAGTGCCCCGGAGATACCGAAGAATCCGTAATAAGGCAACATAGTATACAAAACGTGGGACATCAACAAATTGACTGATAAAGTCAACAACATGAGAGATATCTGATCGAGAGATGCACAAATAGACCAACTGACCAATAAGATGTCGGTATCGGGTAGGATCAGATAGAGGCTCACCATCAGTAGAGCGAAGTTTAATATTCTGTTGAAGTGGAGTATCGACTTTTGTATCGTCAGTTAGCTCAGCACGAGCTAGAATATCTGAGAGATACTTCTGTTGAGATAGTAGTACTCCCCGAGGGCCCTGAGAGATTTCTAGACCAAGAAAATAGTAAAGAGATCCAAGATCCTTCATGTGGAACTGTTGTTGTAATTTAGATTTTGTGTACTATATACCAATAATATCAACACCTGTAATAATCATATCATCTACATAAATGAGTAATAAAACTCTATCACGCGATGTAGTGTGAACAAACAGAGAAGCATCTTGATGACTTTTTATAAAGACCGCCTTGAGCACGATATCGTGAAAACACTCAAACCGAGCATGAGGTGCCTGCTTGAGACCATAAACTACATGGTGAAGGAGATATGCATGTCTTGGATGAATATTGTACCCTGGAGGAGGCTACATATACACTGTCTCAGATAAAGAGCTATGAAGAAAGATATTCTTAACATCTATCTGATATATGGGCCAACGATGAGCAGCGATAACTGTAAGGAGAGTAAGAACGGTGGACATCTGAGCAACAAGATCAAAGGTCTCCTCATAATCAATACCATGTTGCTGAGTAAAACTTCGAGCCACTAAACGGGCCTTACGATGTTCAATGGTGCCATCAGGACGATACTTGACCTTATAAAACCATTTACTGTCAACTAGAGAAATACCATGAGGACAAGGATCAACATCTCATGTATGTGTTTGCTAAAAGGCTTGAAATTTCTCAGCCATCGCCTGTCGCCACTTTGAAAATTAAACTACCTCTTGAAAGAACTTTGGCTCAATGGTAGGATGAATGATAATAAGAAAATTATGAAAGATAGGTGAATAGGAAGTAACCGAAGTATACTGTTTAGGCATGACATGTGGTCGGTTACCTCGACGAAGAGCAAGAGGAACCTCATGCATAGGAGATGCTAGCGTAGGTACACGGAGGTCAGTAGTATGTTCTGTAGTAGGCACCGTGTCCGAGGGAGAGGGAGCTAAGGGAGCAGATGGTGTATAAAAAGGCTAGGGTGAGGGAGATTCAACAGAAGGAGAAAGAGATGGAGAGATGTCAGGAAGATCTCGTAAGGAGAATGAAGGTAAGGAAGTGGGTGGTGCAGCTTGCGGTGAAGAGCAATCAGTAGTGTGGATGAAATTAAAGTTATCAGAACTAGAATAATATGGAGAATCCTCTTCGAACTGAACGTGTCTAGATATATGAACCCGACGAGATGCAGGATTATAACAACGGTAAATTTGATGTTCCAGACTAATTCCTAAATAAATACAGTGAACAGCTCTAGAAGACAATTTATCACGTTCATGAGATGTCAAAAAAATGAAACATTGATAACTAAATATGTGAGGCAGATCATAGCGAGGAGTGTGAGTATATATGGGACTATGAGGAGTAGCACCAGAAAGAGAGCTAGATAGAGTGATATTGATGACGTGAACAACAGTGATAATGGCCTCAGCCCAGAAATGATGAGGAACAGAGTAAGAAATGAGCATGGATCGAGCGATATCGAGGATATGACAATGTTTACGTTTAGCAATACTATTCTGCTCATGAGTGTAGGGACATGACTATTGAAAGATAGTTTCATGAGAGGTCATGATAGAGCGCATGGTAGAGGATAAATACTCTTTGGCACAGTCAGATCGAAAAACTTTAATACGAGCTTTTCATTGCATGAAGATCATAACAGTAAAGGCTTGATACGCAACAGGTACCTCAGAGTGATTTTTAAGTAAATAGACCATTTATAATGAGAGAAATCATCGATAAAACTAACATAATATAAATAATAGCCAGATGAAGAAGGTAGAGGAGCTGGTCCCCAAATATCGAAATGGACTAAATCGAATAAGAAAGTGGAGGCAAATGTAATAGTTGGAAATGATAGAGTAGTAAATTTAGCTAATTTATAATAAGTACATGACTCAATACGAGGACTAGATGACATAGGACCAAGTACTCTGGACTGGATAAGACTCTTCATCCTTTTATTGGACACATGACCAAGTCGTCTATGTCACAAATTGGCGGGAAGAGAGGTAGAAGGTTTTAATGGACAAACAAAAGCAACAAGAGAATGTGGACGTATGGACTCTGGAAGGTAAAGATATTCCAGAAAATACAGCTTGTGCCTCCTACCATTAGCTGTAAGCATTAAAAATTACCTATAGGTTCCCGCATGTAGCTCGAGATAGAGAAAAGATTATAAACATTATTATCTGAGTCAAGGAGTATTATTTGATGCTAACAAGTGCATGAAGTGAGTTGACGAAGCGTACAAATCAATGGGACGGGAGAATGACAAAAAGACGATTCGATCGGGAGTTACGTTTTACCCATTAAAGACGAAGTGTCACTCCTATCTCATCTACTCTATATATAATTCACCTAAGGAAGGTTTTAGATCTCTTCTTCGGCTTTCCAACGCACTTCGAATCATGTCATTCTGAGATCGGACGGGAAAATTATAGCGAAAATAGTCAAGGCGTGCAAAACGACACCTCAGTCAAAAAACTGAGACACAACAAGTGTCTCAGCCAGCCGAGACACGAACTGTGTCTCNNNTGTGTCTCGGTTGGCCAAGACACAAAGACTGTATCAGGCCCCGAAAATGCTATTTTTTTATAGCTTTCGCTCGTTAACCACCTGGCTTTCGGTATATTCTGATCCAAAGCCTCTCCAACTGATTTGAAGCTATTTTGGAATATAGTTAAGTGATTACAACTGAAGATAAGAGGGAATCAGCCATTCTTTATCTGAAAATCAAGCTTCTGAAACCTATAAATACAGCCCTAGGGCCTTCGTTCACAGGAATCCAGAATTCTCGAGCCTTGACGAAGCCCTGTCGAACTGAAGAGTGAGGAGCATAAATTTCAGAGAGGAGAAAGAGATCTTAGCGAGTTATTCAGCATAAAGAAGAAGAGTTCGAGAGATCTGCATCCGTTCATCCATTTTCCTTGAGATCACACCTAGTTGTGATTCTCGAGAAGAGTGATTATCTCGCTTTGTCGAGATAGTTACTTTAATTTCTTGACTCCTTTGCAAGTCAACGGAATCTATATCTTGATCTGATCGCTCGGTGGTCCACGGATAAATCCCAGATAGGCAAAGATCCTACATAAACAGTGGGTGATAAACATCTGTTGTATGTGTTTTAAGAGAGTTGTAATCTTTTGTTTTTATTTTTGTTGAGTTCATTATAACATATGAAGTTGAAATGAGTCCACTAATAAAAGAACCAACTTTCTATCAAAACACGCTAGCGACCACAGTGGGAGCCAACAGTCTCGCTGCTGAGGCTGTCGTGTCGCAGCCGCTGATCAAGATCCCTGTGGATGAAGAGGTCG